GTGGGTGAATCCCGGCCAACCATCGACGTCAACTCTGAAACCCAATGTCTATGCGAGAAAAGTGATGCTGAGTATCTGGTGGGATATGAAGGGTGTGATATATTATGAGCTACTTAAACCTGGCCAAACTGCTACTGCGAAGGTTTATCAACAACAGCTTATTCATTTGAATGATGCATTGGAGCAAGAGAGGCCATATACTGGCAGCGGAAGTAGACAAGTGATTCTCCAACATGACAACGCTTGAACGCATGTCGCCAAAGCGACTAAGGATATTATCTGTGAATTAGGATGGGAGGTTCTCCCTCACGCGGCTTACTCGCCTGATCTCGCCCCATCCGACTACCACCTATTTCGGTCTCTTCAACAGCACCTAGCTGATGAGCACTTCAAAACAATCGACGAGATCCGAAAAAGCAGCGATGAATTTATTGAGTCAAAACCGCCAAGTTTCTTTCGTGAAGGAATTCGTCAGTTGCCAGTGAGGTGGAGTAAAGTCATCGAAAATAATGGGGAATATTTCGAGCGTTAAATGTCTTTTTGTTTTTTTTTATAATAAACTCTGATTTTCATGAAAAAAAGTACCTTATTAATTTGTACATCCAATAGAATCAAGGTATTCAATTACAATGACTCTTGGAGGAAATGATGTTTAAAATGAATCGTTTACTTACGATTGAATGTTCTGTTAAATTTGGATGTTGATGAATCTTCAGTTGGAGACGAAATGTTGTATTGGGTGGATCTGGAAGGGCCCAGTCAGTGGACGATTGAGATGGTTTGCCAGGTTCCGCAGTGAAGATGAGAGACAATTCGGTGCTGGTTGTAGGAGTAGCTGAATACTGCTCTGTTCCAAGGGAGTTTGACTCTAAGGACCAGACTTCCAGAAATTCTTGAAGAGAATTTCGTACTAACTCTTGGGTTTTTTCAAAGTTGAACTAAGACTTAGGCAGCAACTGCGTTGGATCAGATTAAAAACGTAATGCTCCAATTCGTCTTAACCCCACCAGGGTCATAAAGGAGATTCTGACCTCCGTTTTGTGGGTTTCTCCTTCAAATTCGGTGGATTTATCAGTCATAAATTACCCTTTTAATTTGGTTATTAAAAAGGAATTCTGGCCTTCATATCTCACTTAAATTGCCCAGTTCCGGGGAATTGAGGTGTTATTCGAACATGATGTTGACTCTTCATCTGTGCACGTGATTACTGTCCGCTATTGTCATCGGGTGTTGACTTACTTAGATACCATTCGTTTGTCCTTTGGGTCACCTTATTATAATTCTCTCAGGCATCTCGATCACGCTATATTTTTCCATTTCTCGGTTTATTGCGCTCTATTTAATTCCATAGAGATTAAATATCAAATTTTTTAGTTTCGTGGTTTCGGATGGATTCAGGGCCGTAACATAGGCTATGAAGATATTGAATGTACCTTTTTTACATCCATTCAGTAGTAATATCTTTTCATTTCATCGATAAAGTAATACTGGAAAAAGAATACGACACAAAAGATGAAAAACCGCCGACCATCCGAACGAAAAAACAATTAAAAAAATATAATTCCAGAGAAATGAAAAAGAAGAACTGCAGAATAGAATATTTTCATTTAAATCCCTTCAACTTCCTCACATAATCACTCAATTCATCTAAACTTCTTTCACACTTATTGAATTTTTTCATTCCATCGTCTGAACTTTAATTTCAAATGGTGGCTTACAATTCTTCATGAACCTAAGAAATCAATCTCATTATTATTTAATTAGATTAGTCACACTTGAATATTCTCCTCAAGGATCCTTCAATTCCATTTGGAGATCAGCCTTGAAAAAAATGATATTTTATCAATATTCAGTTCGTTGATGAATGCGTCTGGAGCTTCATTTGGCGCAGACAACAGGCTTTGACAGATGATTTGATCTTTGGCCGTCTGTGCAATTAAATATAAATACCCCATGCGAGAAAAATTAATGACTAATTGAAATATTTTCATGTCAGAAATGAATTATTACAAGTGAATTATCCTTATCCTTATCAATTCATCGAAGACTAAAACCTCTCTCTGACTACCTTAGCCAAAATACATAAGATATAATTTTAGAAAAAGAAAAATTAAACTGCAGAATCGAATATTCTCATTTCAACCCTTTTTATTCCCTGATTATGTCACTTAATTCACTCAAACTTCTCTCACACCCTTTGAATCCTTTTTCATTCCATAATCTCAACTTCAATTCAAAAGTTAGATTTACAACTCCTTAGCAAACTCGCGTTACTCGTTCAGTAATACCTAGGTACTTTTACGTAATCGAAAAAGTAATACTAAGTATGAAACAAAAAATAAAAAATCTCTGATTCACTCAACGAAAATATATAATATATAATCTAAGAGGAAAAAATTTAAACTGCAGAATTAAATACATTCTTTTTCTAACCCTTTTCATTTCCTAAATATGTCACTCCATTTTTCTAAACTTCTACCACACTTTTTTACATTTTTTTTTATTCTAATTTTAATCAGAAAGTTTGATCTACGACTTCTTAGCAAACAAAAAAAAATCAATTTTATCAACTTTTCCTTCATTCAGTGACACCCAGGTAGTTTTACTTCATCGAAACAGTTATACTAAAAAAGTATGAAACAAAAAATCAAAAACCTCAATAGGTAATCAAGGGGGGTTCTGGATATTGTTTCACGCAGTTCCCAGCGCACTGCGTCACAGTCGCGTAAGGTTCGAGATTGTGGGTTGGGGGATTAGGAGTGGGGGTGTAGGAATTGAGGTTGTTGAGGGATGTAACAATTCACTAACAAATGTAATTAGTATTTAAATTACAGTTTAATCAAGACGTTTAGAATATATATACAAAAGAGAAAGAATAATCAAAGTGATCTGATCGGAGGTCAGTGTTAGACTCTACTGACTATCTTAAATCGCGTAAGACGGGAATTTGGATACGCATGACAATAGGTGCGAGTGAGAGGTATTTTATACTGGGCGCGTGACAGAGCGCGATGATGTCACCGATGTCCAGTCGTCTCTCAGCGTTGTCGTATCCGTGCGTGCGTTACGCGTTGGTGTGTGTGTAGCGAGACGCTACAGGGGGATGGGGGAGTCAGTGATTCCTAGCGCCATCTCGCTGAGGGTTGGGGGGGGTCGGTCCCAGCCTAGGGTCCCACTTAGTGGGTACCGTTGATAATGTAGAATTTCTTGTTACCGATAGTGGGTGCTGTCGATAACGCAGAATTCCTTGTTACCGTTGGGACTCCATGTGAGAAATATTTTTCGTGAAAAAAAATCTTTTGCCGAAGGTTGGGATCGAACCCACGACCTCTCGTGCAGTAGTTTGACACGCTACCGCCTTCGCCAGAGCGATCTCGGTGTGCTAAGACGGTCTTCCCTCTGGAGACCTCTGTCGACTCGACGCGCGCCATCGGCTTACTTACGCGCACATCAGTATGCTTACGCTGATAGAAATGCTCCTTCAATCTTACTAGACTTAGGCATGAACCAATTAGCTTCTGCTTCTGTTTGAAAGCATTCATTTGAAATAGTAGTCCGTAATTTTTTGTAGTCAAGGGGGGTTCTGGATATTGAGCGTGGATTTTGAGCGATTTGGATTTGAGCGCGGGAGGGTTTTGGAGGAGGTGATTTGGGGAGGGGGGTCAGTGATTTCTGATGTCATGTCAATGATTGTGGTCAATTGACTGAGAGGGTCTTGCACTTGGAACGTTTCACGCGGCGCACCATCTAGCGGCTAACGCCTTCGCTCCCAGTTAGCTCGGATGGTTGGTGCGCGTCAGCTGGTGATTATTCGAGAGAGACATCTATCATCAATTTTTATAATTTGTGATTCCAAATTTGAAAAAAATAAAAAGCTGGTAGTCCTGGTGTAAGCACGATTATACTTATTTCACAACTTTCATGGAAAAATTGTCTCATGTATCCACCGAGAATCGAACCCTAGCCATTCATTTGGTGGGAAACTATGTTACCGCTTACGCCAGGACTACCAGCTTACCAGTCTCAGTAATATTTTAGTTGATATGCATTGAACTGTTAATGGGGGTGGAAGAAATGTCGGATGTTTAGTCTACTGAGGGTGATTATGAGATCATTTTTCGGAGAAAGGTTAACCTCTTCTCCGAATTTTTTTTCCGTTACCATTTTTCTGAGAATTGAATGATCGTCATTTTTTCGTAGAAGAATTCAGCCGTTGATGTTGATTATTATGTGGAGTGGTGGGGATGGGAGGGTATAAGAGAACGAGTCTCGAGTGTTTCGATAGTCAGAACCAAAATGAATTTAACACAAGAAGAGAAGCATTATTTGATGGAGGGTGCACCATTCCAACTAAGTTATATTGGTATCATTGAGAAACATTTTGGTAATGATCCACTATGCCTCTGACTTCCTTCATGATATCTTGGATTTCGAGTATCGGATGGAAATCGTGAAGAAGAATCGATAAGAAATGCAGAATACTTCTGGATTATCTTTACCTGCTCTCTTTGATCTCAAATCTGGCATCATTGAGAAATCTATCGGGACTATATTAACAAGACGGCAGGATGAATTGAAGAAAAAAGTGAACGAGGTTTCTTCTACCATCGAGAGGATGAAGTTGGATGAAGAGGATGGTGAAAAGGCTTCGATTTTATGAATTCTCGGATATTTGCATGGAATGAAATTGACATTGAAAAGGAAGTTTGAGAGTCTCAAGAATTATCAGTGTTGTAAAAAACTTGCAGACAATATGAAATACAAATTCTTTTTTATTATCCAAATGTATTCATTTATTTATTCATTAATCCCATAGAAACAATACATGATTATATAAGATGTTTTTTTAAAATAATTTTCTTCACTCCACCACTGAGAGGATGATATTCAATAATTCGATCGTGTAAGATCAAGCAATAAGCTGCAATAGTATTAGGGAATATTTGCGTCGATTAGAATTCAAGTCGAATATCCACAGGTTCAGTTTTCAGGAACTCGTTCTACTTGGAGCAATCGATGACGATGAGCGGTGCTGTTTTCAAGAATGCATCCCTGTTCAGCAAGGGCTCAGGCTCTTTACCATAGTAAGAAGTGTGGAAGTCGGTATACATGTTGTAGAGTTGAGAGTACTGATTGTGTGTAATATCAAGATTGAGGTTTCCATAGGGGTAACTCTGAGAATTCAGGAAGAGTTTCACATCTCGAATATTACAATGATCGAATTCACTGGCATTGTTGGTTATTTGATTTCTTCCAGAGCTCTGGAATCCGACAATAATGAAGCGTGGTTTTTCCAATTGTGTTGAACATTTCACTACCCAAACATGTTTGGAGGTTCTCGGTAGCATAGGATACTCGTACATCTCCCAAGCTCGAAAGCTAATAGGTGTAGCTATATCTTTAGCAATATAATTCAACAGTTGAACTTTACGAGAATCTGCAACTTTGATGTAGGGTATCATCCATTCGAGCTTGGTGAGTGAAATTTTGAAGTCCTCTGCGTGTGCCCCTTGAGCAGATTGGTCTTGTAAAATAGCATTGTTGTCATTGTGTAAACGAGTGAGAATCAAATCATACTTCGCGTTAATGATAATCTGTTGGTAATCTTCAGCAAATCCCAGTATCATACTCACAGGAATAGAGAGATCAAAATATCCTGCATCGTCAGTTATTTTCCCATTTTCTTGTAAAATCCAACCAGTATTCTCCAATAAAAATGTTTGACTCGGACTCTGGGAAATGTAGTTTTTCATTAGAGTACTCACATCAACATTTTGTGTGAGTACCCTACACAAAGGAGGTTACTCAAACAAAACCTCAGGTTTAGCTTAAAAAAACTGAACCTTAAAACTGAACCTGTGGAACAATTAATGTCCGACGCTAATTCGAACAACGTAGGCTCTTCTCCTGAATTTCTCGAACATTGAAATCGAAGATTCGGGGGTAAGGTTGCTTCTGATGAGTTTTAGGTGTAGAATAACGAGTTATTGAAAACAACTGGTCACATCTCGAGTTGCACCGACTACAGAGTTGAATAGTATCAAACTCGTGCACCTTGACCACAACAGTATTCTTTGATAACTTTATACGCTTCAATAGACGACTGCTAGATTAGAAAACGAACTTGATGATGTGACTAACCTCTTTTTCTCCTACATAGATCAATGTTGCTTCTTCTTTTTGCCTTTTGATGTGTCTTGATCAATTGTATCACTGACAATCTTCTCAATTCGACACTGTACTCCCGAGTATTTTGTCAGTTTTCGTATTTGGAGTTCCTTTTGCGAGTAAAGTGGCTGCATCAATTCAATGGCAATATTTTTATAATTGTTAGGATCATTGCCTTTGTGAGGCGCATATATCCTGCCATTGTTGTCGCAGTCATCGTTGTTGCCATTAGGTGGTATGATGATACATTTCTTGAGCAATGCTTCCTGTGTCAGTTTAATCTTAGCTAAAATTTTGATTAAAAAAATACCACATCTGAATGATTTGATGAGAGGAAAAAGAAAAGAGTTGGAAATATTAATGAGATAAATTCCTGTACAAGGTATGTGCTGCGTGTCACGTTTGTAAAAACCAGTTAGATAAGTGTAATTAGCTGTTTTGATGAAAATTCGCTTCTCCCTCAATCGTTGATCGTAGTCGGTTTCGGAAATTCGTTTCAAATCTTTGGTTGCAATTTCACTATCCCGACATTTCTCCCAAGAAACCCAACCCATCACTTTATCTAAATCATACAGTATATAGTTCATGTACACCTTCATTTTCAAGTTGTTTTTTCAACTGCTTCTCAATATCCTCAATTTCATAGGTCCCAGTCGGTAATGTGAGAACAGTTTCAGTGTCTTTCACGAAATAGAATTTATTATGTCCCTCATCAATATTAGGGATTGAATTGTATGTTAAGAATGACACAAACCCTACACTGTAGATTTTGAAAGGTGATAACTCAATCGATAGAAAATAATATGCCTGCAGTACAGAAGATGTACCTGACAATGTTAACGTGAAAGAGTCACCCATGATGGTTAGCGCTGAACTGATCTGTCACCGGCGTGGATCGCTGCTTTTATAACAATTGATTAGACAGGAATTTGAAGGATAAATGTCCACAAATAATTGTATCATAGTCTTGATAATTTTCGTAATTGTATTTCACGATACTACCAGCACCGAGATAATTTACTAAATCTTGAGGTGGACGCAAGTTGCCAAAGCTATCGAAATAAATGACATCTTTATTTCGCTTTTTATAAGCAACCCAATGGATGCCAGGTCCCTCAGTGTCATCAAGATTGACTACAGCAGATTCATGTTTTCGAGGACCATTATTCTGCATATTATTTTTCATTTACACAGCTCGAAAATGGGGAATTTTCATTGCTTTAGCAAATTTTAGTATGTCATTATCGGTGAGCGCCCGGTGTGGTAGTCTTACACGTTTTTTGGACTCAAATGAAGTCCCAAACCTTGCTTATAAGGTTTCAAATACAAGCCCTTGTTCAGAGCAATATCTTCCATACTCCGATTGTGACGTTTACTCTCCTCAGTGGCTTCCCCGGCAGCCTTAGCGTCATTGACAGCTTCTGCAATGCCCGCAGCACCACCTGCTAAAGCACTTGTGGCACTAAGTCCAGCGAAGAGAGGGATGAAAAAAGCGGCCAAAATTCCAGCGGTTTTTGTTGGAACAGATAGAATGCGAGGCAAGGCTCGAATTTCCTTCCTTCCTCCAGCATTTTTTACAGCTTCACGTGTATCCTTCAATGCTGTTTTCACAGTATTCACTCCTGGAAGCATCGAAGCTTTAGAAGCATCAATAATCTGACGTAATAGGATCTTCTTCTTCTTTCTTCGCTTGCTACCCTCTCCAATTTTTCCCTTCGAAACTCGGCCAGTTCGTTTTTTCAGCTTATGTCCTTTCCGAGTTTTCTTTCTCCTCCTCGTATCAGTTTTCCTCTTCTTACGCACACCCATCCCGAGTTTCTTCTTAGCCTTCATGGTGTTCATCACTCCCCAAGCTACAGCCTTTTCAGCAAGACCAGTGTCCTTCGCCAACGCACGACTCCAAGTTCGTTGTTCTAAAATACTATCAGCGTTGTGTCTAGCAGACAAGTTTTCTCTGTTCTGAGAATAGGCAATATCGTGTTCTTTACACGCTTCGTCAAGAGGGTTTATGCCACGATCACCACGAGCCAATCGTTTAGCTAATTTGGTGCCTGNATCACTCCCCAAGCTACAGCCTTTTCAGCGAGACCAGTGTCCTTCGCCAACGCACGACTCCAAGTTCGTTGTTCTAAAATACTATCAGCGTTGTGTCTAGCAGACAAGTTTTCTCTGTTCTGAGAATAGGCAATATCGTGTTCTTTACACGCTTCGTCAAGAGGGTTTATGCCACGATCACCACGAGCCAATCGTTTAGCTAATTTGGTGCCTGGTCCACAGTATTTATAACCTGGCATATGTAATGCCACAGGCAAGTTATTAATCACTCTATTCACAAAACCTTCACCGCTGCGCTCTCTCTTACGTTTGCACGCGATCATGGTCTGTCAACGACTGATTGAAACCATATAAATACAGCGTATTTATAGCTAATGCGGCAGTCGTCAAGATGAAATTCAAGAGGCAAAATGTGAAACTCCCTGTTATCAATTTCGATCAAATTGTTCAACGAAAAAAGGGTGGGGGAATGAATCGACATGGTTCTCTTTTACCGAATAGCATGCGTGCAGTGATTTGTGGACCTTCAAACTGTGGTAAAACAAATGTCTTGTTTGCACTGATCACTCATCCAAATGGATTGAGATTTGAGAATGTTTGCGTGTATTCAAAGTCTCTGATTCAACCGAAATATCAGTTNGCGTGTATTTAAAGTCTCTGATTCAACCGAAATATCAGTTCTTGAAGTAGTTGTTAGAATCTACAAAAGTTAATGAATATTTTCCATTCAATGACCACGAGGTGGTGATCAAACCTGAAGATGCTCGCCCCAACTCCATCATAATCTTCGATGATGTTGCTTGTGAGAAACAAGACAATAATGAGAGCATTTTTTGTATGGGACGACATCAAAACGTAGACTGTTTCTATCTCTGTCAGACTTATGCTCGTATCCCGCAACATTTAGCGCATGATAATACGAATTTTCTCATACTTGTTCGTCAAGATGAGATGAACTTGAAACATATTCATGATGATCATGTCAATACTGATATGTCATATACACAATTCAAAGATTTGTGCTCAACTTGTTGGAATCTGGACAGGTATGGATTCATGGTAATTAATAAAGATAGTGAATTAAATGATGGATGTTATCGAAGAGGTTTCGATTGCTTTATCACCATAAATAAGCAATGATCTTCGAGATTGAAGACAGTATTCAGCTGAACGTGCAGCAATCAACATGCAGCGCAAGGTGTTGGAAAAAGAATCCAATGTTTTGCATCACATTGCTTTAGCAAGTGATGCAATCCGACGTAAACATAAAACATTGAAATTAGGTCAAGATGCTGCAGAACGTACTGCAAACGAAGTATTTAAATCAATGATTACACCGCTTGAGCAATTAGTTGAAGCACAATCGAAAGAATCACGACAAAAGAAAAGAAAATTGTCAGAACGAGGGATATCAATGGTTCCATGGATGGTTGTTGGAGATAGTGATGAACAGAATGATGCGTTCAAAACAGCAGACGAGGATCATAAACAAAAAATTTTCTCGAGTACTCCGCGACATATAGCATCATCATCATCACAACCTTCAATGAGTCTTAATGATACTCCATTACTCAAAAACCATTCTTCAAGACCGTTTGGCGTCGATTGATGAATCATCGACTGAAAACCTCAATATATCAAATGCAGAGAACCCGGCACAGTCATATCTCGATAGATTCGGAACAGCAAAAGAGAAAAAATTGGACATTGAATTTGACATTAGAAATTTGAAAGGAGGTTTTAAAATCGGAAATTCAATAGTTTCTTTCAAGGATGATGCAATGATTTTGCAAGATAAAGAGTATAAATTAACACCTGGTTTGATGTCATAGATTTTCATGAAATCTCCAGAACCAGAGCATATCACTGAAATTGACAAAAAAGTTTATGTTGAAATTATTGAACGAACGAGTGCTCATCGATCTCGATATCAAGCTGACCAACCCATTTAGAAAAATAAGAATAAAAAATTTACTAATATAATAGCACCACTGCTTGAATCATCATCGATTCAAAAAACTGGTACAGCTCTGCTACCGCAATACGTGATCGCTCCAAGGACTACGAACAAAAAAATGGATTATGTTTACTGGGATGATCCTAATGAATCCGTAGATAGACTTCGTTTACTCATGGCATCTCAGGCAGCTGGCAATACGAGTCACACCAATGAAATTTTCTCCATCATCGAAAAGTTACGTAAGGCTGGAATTGTATATTAGATTCTGTACAAGCAAGATTTCATCAGTTCAATCATGAGCGTTGATGTATTCGGTCGACAGTGGGCTTATGGTAGTACTACTACCCCAGGGAGACGAGGTCCTCCAGGTGATGGATTCAAGCGTACACATGATGGAAACTATGACATTGATAATAAAAAATTATGTAATTTAGCTGATGCAAA